CTCCGTTTGGCCGTCGGTTTCTGGATGGAAGGCTGAGCTCGGGTGTAGTGTTGTCTTCAGGCGTGCACTGAGTCGTTGCCATACCCCGGAGACAAATGCGGAGCCCCTGTCGGAGATGATCGAGTCCGGTGCGCCGTGGAGCTTAAAGACGTGATGCAAGAAGCTGTCTACAACTTCGTCGGTGTCTAGCCCTGTTACCGGGATAAGGTGTCGCATCTTGGTTAGTCTGTCCACTACTACAAGGATGTGCCTGTAGGTTTTGCCGTTCCTGGTGCACTCGGGTAGGTCGACGATGTGGTCCATAGATATGTCCGCCCACGCTCGGAGGGGGACTTCCAACGGTTTTAGGAAACCGGGTGGTGCGGACCGGGGTGTCTTCGTCCTGAAACATAGCGCGCATCCTTTGACAAAATCTGCCGCGAAGCGGGAAAGGCCGGGCCACCAGTAACTCCGGTTGAGCAAGTCGATAGTCTTGACGCGGCCAGGGTGGCCGGCTGGGCCAGAAGAGTGCGTTCGGTGGGCGACTGCGAGCCGCAGGCCTGTGTGATCCGGGACGAAGAGGCGGCCTCTGAAGTAGATTAAGCCGTCGATAATCTTGCACTCGGATTTATCACAGCGGAGGGCTCGGCGTAGAGCTTTTGGCCATCGTCGTGCACCGGGTGTTTGCAAGGCGGTTACCATCGCCTGAGCAGTGCTGTCGTTGTCGTAGCCCTCACGGATCAGGTCGATCAAGGCAATGTTATCGGGCTCAGCGGTCAGTGTTGCTACGAGGTCGGAGTCGTTGTTTTCTCGGGCGTCGTCGAGCAGCTGCTCGAGTATGGTCGGGTGTACTTTCTCTGCTGGTAAAACAGTCCTTTTTCGATACTGAAGTCGTTCATCATCCATTCCAGCGGGTTGGGAGCCGGGGAGCCTGCTCAAGGCGTCAGGTAATGTAGCTTTTGATCCAGGCCGGTACGTGATCTGGAAGTTGAATTGGGACAGGAATTCTGCCCAACGGACTTGGCGTTGGTTCAGTTGTTTCGTGGTCATGAAGGTCTGTAGGTTCTTGTGGTCTGTGTAGATTTCGAAAGATTCCCTCGTTCCATAGAGCTCCGGGCGCCATTCCTCCAGGGCCTTGACAATCGCAAGAAGTTCCTTGTCGTAAATCTCGTAATTGCATTCGGCGGAGCTATGCTTCGCGGAGAAGAACGCGACCGGCCTCAGTTTACCGTTATCATCGTACTGTGAGAGCACACCGCCGGACGCCCAGTTGGAGGCGTCGGTCTCGACAACGGTGCGTTTGGAGTAGTCGAAGTAGGCGAGAATTGGGGCTTTTGTGAAGGCGTTCTTGAGTTCCTCGAAGGACTGGCGTTGATCGGATGTCCAGGACCAAGCGGTTTCCTTTCTCAAGAGCCGGGTCAGAGGTTCGATGATTCCCGAGTATCCCTGGATGAACCGGCGGTAGAAGTTTGCAAAACCGAGAAATTGTTGAAGTTCTTTGACAGACGTGGGGTCTTGCCAGTCTACGATGGCTTTGACCTTCTCGGGGTCCATGCTGAGGCCGCTTGTGGAGATGATCAGGCCGAGGTATTTAGTCTTCTGGGTGTAGAATTCCGACTTGCCGATATCTATCTGGAGGCCGGCCTCACCCAGTCTCCGAATAACTTCGTTGACATGGGTTGTGTGTTCCTTCCGGGTCCGACTATATACCAGGACGTCATCCAGATAAGCTGTGCAGTAAACATCCAGTGCGTCATGGAGAAGGTGGTTGATGTAATTCTGGAATGTGGCAGGCGCATTGCAAAGTCCGAAGGGGGTGACCAGGCTCTCGTAAAGGCCGAAACGGGTGATGAAGGCCGTCATCCACTCGTGTCCTTGGGCGACACGCACGCGGTTGAACGCTGCTATAACGTCCAGTTTGGTGTAGAACTTGGCGTTGCAGAGAGAGTCGAGGGTTTCCCGGATGAGTGGCAACGGGTATCTGTTCTTGATGGTGACCGCGTTGAGTCCGCGGTAGTCCTGGCAAATCCGGATCCCACCTCCGGGCTTGGCGGCGAGCAGGAGTGGCGCCGCTGCAGGTGAGGAAGACGCTCTAATCCAGCCCTTGGCTAAATTCTCATCAATCCATTTCTTGATGCAACGGAGTTCCTCAGGGGAGAACGGGCGGTTTTTAGAGTACGGGGCCTGCTTTCCTGGCACGAGTTCAATCTTGTGGTCCCAGTGCCGGTGTGGTGGTAGTGTCTCTGCGTTCTTTGGCAGGAAATGCTCCACATGGTGGTGAAACTCCGCCGGTAGGCGGCTCTTGATATCTTCGGCTGTTGGCCGGGGCTTCTCCGCTAGGAACTTGTCGATATCGGACGGCATTATTTTACGCCGTAGTGTTTCAGTGCGGGCTGTCTCGTCGAGGTTTGTCTGTAGGAAGTCGTGGAAGTACGGGTCGAACACCCGTTTGGCATCTTCTAACGTGTAGTCCCCGGTCATGATCCGCCTGAAAGAGGTTTCTTTGAGTTGAGGGATCTCAACAAAGCCCCGTGGAAGCTCTTGTAACATGTCAAGGTTCTCCTCGTCCTCGACGAGCTGACGGAGCTCGGCGAGAGTTGTGGTTGTGGCGAAGGAGCCTTCTTGCTTACAAAATTGCAAAAAGTTCATTGCCTGGACGCATCGGATGTCGTTTGTGTCGAGCTTCATGTTTCTAGGGCGTCCTGCTGTCTTCAGAATGGGTGTGGGTCGTCGGCGTTGCGTTGGGCGCCTACTGCCTGCACTGAGGACGACGGGTGAGGGTGAAACGTTCCGTTTTGCAGGCCCAGCTGGCTTTGGCGTTACTTGTATAAGGAGTTCGTCTCCGTCGGGGTGGGCACGTTTCGTAGTGAACTCTTCGTCTGGCACGTCCTCGACAGTGGTCTTTCTGTAGGAGGTCGTGGGGGTCGGGGGAGGTGTTCTCCTTGGCTGGTCCTCAGTGGTGGCTTTGCGGCATGGCAATATAGGTTTCGTGAAGCGCTCGGGTGGTTCTGCGCGTGGGGCCTCGCAGCCGCCGGCGGGGAGGTCCCATGGTAGGCAGTGATGTCGACAGTGAGGTGAGTTAAATACCAGGCGCATCTCTGTCCAGAAGCATGTCGGGTTGTGGAGTTTCAGCCACGGGATGCCGAGGATGATCGGGTTAGTTTTGCCTAAGTTGGTGACATAAACAGGCATGGTTTCGGTGTGGTTGCCGATGTGGACTCGAGTGGTGAAGTATTCTGAGACGGTAGATTTCGTAGTGCCGTCGGCTAACCTAAGGGACCTCGGGCGCAGGAGGCGTTTCGTGACTAAGTTGAACTTTTTCACGACTTCTTGGTCATCGGCGAAGGCGAGTACGGTGGAACCAGAGTCAATCAGGCTTGTGGTTTCAAAGAAAGTGCTAGGGAAGCGTGTGCGCGGGTCGGAGAGAAAAGTTTTGACAAGAAGGGAATCTGCATTGCTCTTTATTGATCGCAGCGCGAGTGGTCTTCTGTCTAGGAGTACGGCCCTAGTAAAACAATCCTCCTCCTCATATGGAATTGGCCCCTGGTTGCGACTTAATCCAGGGGCGGGCCTTTTAACTGGTGTCCTTGAGCGTCAGGTGCAGTGTAGGTGCTTGATATGTCATCTCCAGTGACGCTGGTGTTCTCGGAGCTCGTCTCGCCGATGATGTGCCCCGTGGGGAGGGCACGAAGTTGTGGCGTCAAGAACTGGGGCTGCTGGAACTGCGTCTGGGGCATCCATTGCCAACTCCCCTGTTGCTGGGTCTGGCCTTGGGGTTGGGTTCGGCTGGCTTGTGTGTTGTATCCACCGCGACCGCGGCCGCGGCCGCGGGCGGTGGGTGCTTTTGGAAAGTGCTGCGGGTGTTGGCTTGGCGTCGGGGCATCGGGACGGGATCGACTGGTCGGTGGTGGTCTCGTGCGAAGTGTCCTGGTTCGCCGCACGCCAGGCAGAGGTCGTTGTCCGTGCGGCGCCTGCGTTCAGCGTCGGAGATGCGGATGCGGTCGAGTTCCATGGGGTCGCCTGCATCAACAGCTGGGGCTACTCGGTCTTGTGCGTGTGCTTCAAGGTGCGGTTTGGCTATATTTCGTAGCTTGGTGATGTGTTCTTTCTGCTGCAGGTTTCGGGCAATGTTATCGGTAACGTTGGTCCAGCCGGCGTAGTCGTCGGCGGCCGGCAGGGTGATCTGGTTATCGATGACAGCGGTGAAGGCACCGTTCAACCGTTTGCGTAGCATGTCGACTTTCGAGCGGCTGTCGAGCCTGGCTTTGTCGGCGTAGTGGTCGAAGTCGGCCTTGAAGTCGCCGTAGGCTCTGTTTCCCTGGTGGAGCGTGTCCAGCATGTTTTTCGCAGATTGGGTGCTGTCGAGCAGCATGTAGCGTTTGTCTAGCGCTTCCCACAGCGCAGCTAGGTTCTGCCAAGTCCACAATTGTGAGTTCTTCGGGTTGGCGTTCATTGTCTGGACGCCGTCCTGGACGGCATCCCAGGCCTTGCCGCCCAGCAAACTTGTGATGAACGTAAGGATGTCGAGTGCCTTCGGGAAACACTCGGCGTCGACGACTAGAATTTGTTCCACTTGGGTCTTCCACCGCTCATAGGCGCTTTGGCGTTTGGCTGTGTCCTGCTGGCCCGCGGTGAATTTGTCAGGGTTTGTTGTGGTGCGTCGGGCCTTCGGGGTGGTCCCGAAATGAATTGGAGGTCCGTTTGCCGTCGTCGCTTGGGCTAGGCGGGTTTGGAGTTCGGTTTTCTCGTCTTGGAGGGTTGAGATGCGTTCATTGTGCTGCGTGACGCAGCTGTTCAGGCGGGTAATTTCTGCGTTCAGGCCCGTGATCTTGGCACGGGTCTCCAGGAGCTCTTCTGTCTGGGTGGCAATAACCTGGTCGAAATCTGAGATACGTCTTGTGGCGCGAACGAGGTCGGCTTCGTATTCTTCGACGCGTTTCGTTAGTTCGGACTGGATTTGGTCACGGTGGAGGGTGGTTTCTTTCGCGTTTCGTTCGAGGCAGTCGAAGATTGCCACGAACCTGGCCTTGTCGGGACCGTCCTGGGCAATGGCGGATTGGATGAATGGGCCGGGGCTAGCGTCCGTTGGAAAGGTCTCGGAAAGAATGGCTGTGGTTAGGAGGGGCCAGTGTTGTAGGAGCGCTTTGCGAAGCTGCTCACGCTCGATGGACTCGTCGCTCATTGTGGGAGATTTTGCATGGATGGTCTTGGTGCCGGGTCGCGGAAGTCGGCTTGTTAACAGGGCATGTAGCTGGTTCTGGCTGGTTCTGGCTCTGGTTCTGGCTGGGTCTGGTGTTGGCTAGTGGCCGCGACGGGGCACAATGTTAGATCGCACAAACTGTCACGGGGCGAGGTCAGGGGAGTCGCGGGACAGGGTCAGGTTCTGGCTAATGACTGAGTTGTGCGATGAGGAGAGAGGAAGCTCTCGCAAGGGGACGCTAACGGAGAGGAGATCCTGCTGCTAGTGTGGGTCCAGGTCGCGTGGGCACGTGCTGCCCACGTGACCCAAGCAGGTCAGGCTTGGTGCCGTGACAACAATGGCCCATTGGCTCTCTAATACAATACCAAAGTCTCGAGCTGCGTCTTTGCAAGCAGATCATACAAGAACCTCTCAACTTTCACTTCCAGTAGATGAAATATCTATCATTACAACTTTTCCTAACTACTATTACTCCGTCTTCAGGGTGACCAGGTGCAGGATGAATCATAATGAATCATGATGAAATTCGTTTGGCAGACCCCTTGAAATGCGGGGGCGGGGTCTGATAAATAATGAATGGCGTCGGCCTCATGTCAACCTCTCAACTCACTCCACCACTCGGGTCTGTCACTCCCCATCTGGTCGTACCCGAATTCCACCATGGCCATGAAACCATTCAACCTTGACATCATCGGCCAGCCACCGCACCTGCACATTTACACACAGCTCTGCCTCTGCTATTCTCTCGCCGACAACCCAAACGCAGATGCAACCCGCCAATCAGTAGTCGACACCCTCGCTCAAGGCCTGAAAACCCTAGCACGGCGCATCCCGTGGCTCGCAGGACAAATCATCCACGAGCCGTCAACCGAGCCGGGAAATTCTGGAGTTTACAAGCTCGCTTCTTGGCGCGATGCTCCGCCCCTGCTCGTCCGTGATCTTCGTGGGAACCCATCCGCGCCCACGATGCAGGAACTGCGGAAACGGAATTTCCCCATGGGACTACTCGACGAGGGAATCATAGCGCCCTATATGA